GACATTCCAGGTAGGTTGTTGACCATGGAGATCCTAAGCCTTATTGCTTTTCTGTGAGGCCATAATCCTAACCCTTTTCCAGAAGGCCCAAGGGAAAGCATTCAAAGCTGGTAAGTGTAACAAATCCTGGATCTCAGAGCCAGGAAGGTCAATGAATTGGGGTCAACAGCCTACCCACGAGTGATGGTGCCTTCAGTCTCCACATCAAAGAGTTCTATTCAGCACTGGTTGTCTATAAAGGATGGGTAATTTGGTAGAGTTATCATTCATTCATTCATTAATCCAACTAATATAGATCCAGTATCTATATAAGGGGGCTCTGGTGATGCAGTGGTTAACACACTCGGCTAGTAACCTAAAGGTCAGCAGTTCTAACCCATAAGGCGCTCCATGGGTGAAAGATGTGGCAGTCTGCTTCTGTAAAGATTTACAGCCTTTGAAACCCTATGGGGCAGTTCTACTCAGTCCTACAGGGTGACTATGTGTCAGAATCGACTTGAATGCAATGGGTTTACCTACTATGTGTCAGGCACTGTCCTTATGGGACTATGAAGATAAGGCAGACCTTGTGTTTACCCCCAAGATGTTTATATTCCTTTTAAAGGAGACAGATTTTTAAATGAGTGTCTCCCATGAACCAGGAGTGGAATGCTACGATGGGGGATTATACTGTGCTCTGAATACATAAAGCAGGGAAACCTCACCAAGCTGTGACCTGAAGTAAAACAATGTTGTGGTTAGATGTCTTTGAGTAGATTCTAACTCATGTCGACCCCATGTGACAGAGTACAACTGCCCCATAGGGTTTCCTAGGCTGTAATCTTTACAGGAAACTGACACAGTGGCTACAACAATGAGCTCATGCATAGCAACAATTGTCAGGATGGCACAGGACCAGGCAGCGTTTAGTTCTGTTCTACATTGGCTCACTATGAGTCGAAACCAACTTGAGAGCACCTAACAAATATTTACAGGAGCTGATAACCAGGTCTTTCTCTTGTGGAGCCACTAGGTGAGTTTGAACCAACACCCTTTTGGTTAGAAGCTGAGCACTTAATCACTGCACCACCAGGGCTCCTCTAACAGTGAGCATTCACACAGTCTTAGTCTGTAGCAGTCACTGTTGTCAATTGTTGTATCCTCTCAACAACCCTATGAGAAGGATAGAGTTCTCTAAATCTTACAGATGATGGAAGTGAGTCATGGAGAGGTTAAATGCCTCATCCAAGGTTAAATGCACTCATCCAAGTAGAGAAGTTGGAACTGAAACACAGAAGTTTGGCTGAGGTCTGCTCTCCTCACCACCATGCTTCACCAGGGAGAGTGGATCAGCAGAGGGGAGGGGAGAGAACACCTTCCAGTCAAAGGGAACAGCCTATGTGAAGCCTCAGCTGAAAAGGAGGCCTGAGAGGGCTTCAGAGTGGACATGTGTTTCCAGGACTGGATTGATGTGGTTCAAACAGAGTCAGAGGAGATATTTGCAGGAAACAACAACCATCACACTGTTATTCCCTATACTCTCATGCCACCCCAATGGACGGTAACCAGTTTGAGGGCAGGGGAAATGTTCGATTCATATTTTCTATATTATTTCCCTTATAACAACTTCCTAACCCCCACCATATTTAGATTCAAACTGGGTCCTCGGAACTGAGCAATGTCAGTGATGATGTCAAAGAAAGATTATGAAAGTTTTGGTGCTCACTCAGATCCCAACTGCTCTTTGGAGAGGTTGTTGATCTGAGGTCTCCTGTGGAAGAGCAACATAAGCTACCAAATCACAGAGAGTGATTCCTACACTGGAGTCCCCAACTTGTGAGAGTTTGGGACACCATCTCTAATTGGAAGGAGGGAGAAACATCTTACCAGCGACCATCCTTTCTGGTTCATCTTCACCCAGCCAGGATGGAACGGCAATAAAGGAGGAAGAGGCCTTTCTCTAAGACTCGAGGTAAAGGTGGGAGGAAAATTCTCCCTGATTAATAGGAGCTGGCAGTGAAGGGTTGTATTTCCCTGGAAAAGAGGGCCACAAGGAGAGAAGATGAAGGCTTTGATGTGCGGTGATGGGGCTCATGAAGGCTTTCCCTGAGAAACTACTTCCTGCCATTTAGTAGACAATTAACCACAGTGCATGATATGAATGAATAAATGAAGGCATAAATGGGTTAATCATAACAGTCTACTGTGATCTGAGGGCTTTCCAGAGTAGGAAGAAGAAGTCACTCAATGTTTTAGGCCTATAATATTCCTGCTGATGTCTCTGAGATTGAAGGAGGCAAGTGGTTACCTGGAGTAGTGGGTGTAGAACCAGGGAGAAGGGTGGTTATGGAGATTTATACATATTTTTAATACGTTCTAATGAGATTGAATTGACAAATCATGCGATGAATTTAAAAAATAAAATATATCGAGGGGTTTTGGGAGTAGGTGGTGTGAGAGAACACAGTACCCCACACTGACCCAGAGTTCCCAGTCACTGAGAGCTCCAGCACTCCCCAGGCTGGACTCAGACAACAGCAGGTCTGGGCAGGCCATGTCCCATGAGCTCCGGGGAGTTCCCTTTTCCTCCAAGTTCTAAAGTTCTCTTCAGAATTGAAGTTTTAAGTTCCTACCACAGTGAACCTGAGCTTTTGCTATAATTCCTAGTGGTGCACCCTCACCTTACCCAGTGTCCTCCTCCTCCACCCACACCTTTTTCTTCTCTGCTGCTCTCCTGTGCTGCCCTGCAGTGGCGGAGCCCTCTTTTCTGCTCCCTCCTTGGTCCTGTATCCATCTAACATACTCCTGGGAGGTTCCTCCTCTCTATACTCTGTCTCTCCCACGAACTTGCCTTCCATCCAACACACATACGCTACCTCCATATCTTCACTCAGAACTCTCCAGTCCTTCCCTCATATTCAGAAACATTTACAGACCTTTAGCCTGACGTGGAAACTCACCCAGACACAGCCAGGTGAGGTGGTTATATTTGACCACTGATGTTTGTGGAATCAAGGCTCTCAGATATAGCCATCTGTTTTCTGCCTAAGGACCCTAAAGGAGTTTATCTAATAAGGACCTGTTACGGGGCTTCTGTTTACAGAAAGGCTACTTTAACCTTCTATGGTTGCTTGTTTAGGAAGGGTACAAGGAAGAGGTATATGTGTAAAAGCCTTAACAAAATAAACGAATTATTTCTTTGCTTTAAGTATAATTTGTCTATAAAAAGCCTTCCCATAAAAGAGGTTAAGGAGGTGAGCATTTCTCCTGTTTGAGTGTTTACACTATAAATTTACTAAGAAAATCATCCTCATAGAACAGTTCTTCAAGAGAAGTTTCACAGTATTATGAAGGTTCAGGAAAATGAGATTTTATATGTTCCAAAGGAGCAAATTCATTTGAAATCCAACAAATAAATGCCAAAAAAAAGTGACTTGAAGACTCTTTATTTACCAATATAAAATCCCAAGATACTATCTTCAAAGAACATAAGCTTTTATTATAAGTTCCTACCATCATTAGTAGCATTTTGGGTGGCACAGATGGTTGCCTACGACCACGAAACAAAAGGTTGGTGGTTTGAACCACCCAGGAGCATAGCCAAGAAAGGCCTGGTATCTGCTTCCATAAAGATTACATACAAGAAAACACTGTGGAGCACAATTCTACTAAGTAACACACAGGGTCGCCATAAGTTGGAATCAACTCCATGGCAATGGGTAATATCATTAGTACCATCTGCAAAGATTTTATCAACCATAGCAATGCCCCAAAGGAGGGTAGAGCTCTCTCGAAAAAGAAAGGAAGGAGGGTGTCTCCCCAAATTGGAGGATGTGGTGATGGAGAGGCCTCCAGGGGTCCCTATGACCAAATCTTTGGGCTCATAGATGAGGACCCAGGCCTGAAATCTCATGCAAATTAACTCTGTTCTCAGGGGTATCTATCCAAGAGGAAAATGCCCAAGAGTCAACAACAACCGCAGCAAAAAGCCCAAGCTCCAGGCCCAGGAAGATTCCACGCCAATCAGAGAGGTCTTGTCCCTCAGCTTCCACTGAGCAGACCTCTCACTCATCCAGCTAAGGGCTGCTCCAAAGAAGTGATGGGTGAAGTGCGCATATTTCATGCAGGTGCGCACGGTCAAGGGGGTGGCAGTGGGCCTGGCAGACCAAAACCTCCTTTGCCCCCGTGGGCAAGATGCCCCAGGTCTTTGAAGCGGAGCTCTCGGAGGAGAGCACCATCAGCTCTGCCCCTAGTCTGGCCAACACCAAGTCCCTGGTCAGTGCCCTGGAGCCCTGGCAGGAGGGGCAAAAGGAATGTACCCCAAGCCCAGCGTCCAGAAGGAGGAGCACGGGGAGAAGTCCCACGCTGCCACCCTGGAGTGGCTGGTGACCCACGAGCGCGGCTTCCGCTGTGTGGCCTGCTGCCGCATGTTCCAGTCCCAGGAGGCCCTGGTGGCATACGCGGAGCATGGCGTGAGCCAGGTTTCAGCTTCTGCATCTTCTACGAGGAACTGCTGGAGAGGAGGCTGCCGCCCTCAGCCTAGCACAGACCCCGACACTACCACCAGCTGGCCAGGCACCACCTGATGGCCACCAAGAAGAAGGAGGTGAGGGAGAAGAGAGCTGTCTGCAGGTGCCTGGAGGAGCAGCTGGAGAAGCAGAGAGAGGAGCTGAAGAGGCTGAGACACCAGCTGGCACAGCGGCATAGGCGGGAGGCCAGGCTACAGAGAGCACAGGCTCAGCAGCAAGGCCAGAGGGGGAAACGCCTAGGACTTGAGAGGAACAGGGCATTTGGGCTGGAAATGTGGGCCCTTCGGGAGATACCTCCATTCAGGCTCCTTTAACCCAGCTCCCCTGGAAGATCCTTTATACCAGCTCCTGCACCCCATGACCCGCCCACCCCAAGTGCATGGAGAGCTGCAATCCTAGGGGTGGAAGAAGGCCCAGGACAGCTGACTGCAGACACCATGTCCGCTCAGAGGCTCCCCTGGCCCAGGAGAGGAGAGGACAGGACTCATCTGGATGGTGAGGTCTCTGGACCCTGAGGACAAGCACAGTGTAAGTAGGGAAAGAGAAACGGCATTTCAGTGGGACTTGGAGAATGAGAGGGGGCCTCTGCAAAGACAGCTGTAAGGGAGGTGTGATGCTGAAGGGGGTGTCCCTGCGTTCTCTGCAGTAGAAGAAACCAGAGAGACGGCAGGCTGTGGGGAAACCTGCCTGCAGGTGAGCAGTGGGCATAAAGCCCTAAACCAAGGACTCTGGGTTCCTTCCCAGCAGCCTGCAGGCAGAGAAAGAAGCAGGGCTTGGCAGGAGGAGAGGAGGGTGGGGTGAAGGAAAAGGAGCTCACCCATCCATGTCTTCTGGCCTCCCAGGATGAATTTGGGTTGATGATTATGAGGCATCATCGTTGCCTCATTAGGGGAGTGTAAGTGGGAGCTGGTGTAGAAAAATCCCCCTGGGTGTTATCCTCTTCTGGATAAGAGTCGATCCAGTACTTACTGGATAATTCCTGTAGAGCATCTCCTAGGGTCAGGGGTAGAGCTTTGGAACTTTTTCTTTCCTTTAAAACAAGTTATACTGTCTGGTTTTTGACATATCAGTCAAATTTGCTCATTTTTTTCCTTTTATCTTCTGTGGTCTAACCTGACCTGTCCTGAGATTAAAGAACTGCAAGGAAAAGGCCGACTGAGATAAAAGGAGCAAACGGGAGGGCAATCTTCTAAACCCAGAAAGAACAGCGAGAACACAGATGGTCAGAGGTGAGGGTGGGAAGGGGCAGATTCAGGCCCAGACTCAATAGTGGACAAAAAAGCCCAAGTCTCAGTCACAGCATCAAGTCCCAGGTCTGGGGAGGTCCTGGATGTGATGAGGCTTGTCCATCTCCCCGGGAGATGAGACCCCCACATGTTACAGGGAAGTCTTCAGGGGCACAAGAAGGGAGGGCAGGGCCTCTAGGGTGGGCACCTCCATCTACAGGCTGTCCTGTATTTCTCAGTGACAGAGGCAGCTCCTGCGAGGGACAGTGTCGGAGGCAGAGGAGGCAGGGTGAATTCTGCAGTCTCCTAAGGATTCAAAAGGACAATCAGAGACTCCCAGAGGTATCAGAGTGGGAGGGGTCATCATTCCTAAACTGGGGAGAGGCTGGCTGGGGAGGTACTGCTTTCTGAAATCTTTTCACCAAAATCTTTCTTCTTAAAAGCTATCTTCCCAGTTAACTGCTCTATGTTCAGTCCTGAAAAGACGCTAGAATGCACAAGGGTGGGTTATCCAGTGGGGCAACATGGGGAGGAGGTGGTAGCAGCGTATCAGGGAAAGAGAATCTTCTCGTGGTACATGAGTTACCTAGTGAATTGCACATGGTGTTCAGCCTTCTTCATTTAGCCGTAGACGTGTACATGCAAGACATGTTTGCGGGGTAACTCTATTGATCCTCACAAAATTATTTCTGGTCATTCTCAGATACAGAGACCAGAAGAGCTCATTGGCTCCATGATCAAGCAAGAATTCCACTGGGTCTGACTGTCGTACAGTCTGTGGTGTGCTCTTCTTCCAGTGATTAAAATCTTCGTGTCTGTCATTAAAGAGAATTTTCACCTATTTAAAAAAAGCTAACAAAAAGTTAAAAAATATATATCTGTGGTGTTTACTAATTTTCAAAGCTCTGAAATTCTTTTTATCACATCTCTAAGATTACAGATTTGTATGATGAAAAAGTTACAATCAGAGTCCCACCCTCATATATAATTTGCTCCTGCCCCGCAAAGTGTCCAATGTTAAAACACACGTGTATCCTTCCCTACATTTCTCTGCTGGGACACATATACACAGTCACAGGTACGGAAGTAGATCTGCTGGGGTGTTTGCTTTTATGAAAACTTGGTCACACTCTTGCCCCTTCTTTCACTTGACATTCTATCTTGATTCTCTGTAAGTCATTAGATATGACACTAACACTATCTTTTTGGGTCTTTGAAGTTTTAACTCATATTTACACAAATAATTTAAATAGATAACAACTACAGTACAGATTATCTAGACTTACACATGCTGTTGTTCAGTGCTGTCGAGTCAGTTCTGACTCACAGCAACCCTGCGTACAACAGAACAAAACACTGCCTGGTCCTGTGCCATCCTCACAATTGTTGCTATGTGTGAGCCCACTGTTGCAGGCACTGTGTCAATCCATCTCAGTGAGGGTCTTCCTCTTTTTCATTGCACCTATGCTTTACCAAGCATGATGTCTTTGTCCAGGGACTGGTCCCTCCTGATCACATGTCCAAAGCCATCCTTGCTTCTTAGGAGCATTCTGACTGTACTTCTTCCAAAACAGATTTGTCTAATACATAACACTACTAAAATGGAAACGCATATCATCCTTGCTTTTTAAGTCCACTCTTCCTGCATGTTCTAACTCTCCTCCCTGAGTCCTTTCCCACAAGTGAATCCAAGGTACTTCATGTCAACAATCTGGTAAGTAGTCTCTCTTATCCTTGCTTAAACAAGCATCCACAGACATACAGGTATTCTCGTCTGCTCATTTATACACACATAAACATAAACAGATAGTCAAGCATATTCAGATGATTGCTATTGTTTTACCCAAATGGGCTCCTTTTACATATACTTCTCTGCATCTTGATTTTCTCCTTCAATAATACTTCACAGAAATTTCTCCTACTCAACTACTATAATTCTTTCTCGTTCTAACGACTCCCTAATTTTATGGATGATGTAGCTTTACTATAAATTATCTCTCATTCCACCAGCAATGGGCAGTCAATTTTTTGTCATTAGAAATTATAACCATCCTTTGTACATTGCAGGATTTTTTTTTTTTGTGGGATGGAGTCTAACCAGTGAAATTTACAGTTCAAAGAATGTTTTAAAAGTATAGAGCCATGTCCATGTCTTTCCCCTAAAAGACTGTAATAATGCACCTTCCCAGCCATGTCTCAGGATAGCCTTCTTCCCACAGCCCAGCCAGCCATAGGTAGTATTGATTTTTAAATTGTGCCAGTTTCACTGGAACTTGGATATTTTCTTAACTACCAGTGTTTTTAAACAACTTTGATTATGTTTACTGGGCATGTGAATTTGCTCTGAATGGTCTGTTTGAATTCATTGCTCATTTCTCAAGTGCTTAACTTTTATCTTTCTTGTATAAAATGGAAACTGTTATTAATCCTTGTCAGCTACATTTCACATAATTTTCCAAATCCATTACTTGTCTATTATATTCGTAGAAGTATGTTTCACCCAGAATGATCAGTTGCCTCAGCACCGTTTATTAGATAAACCATAATTTTCCTGAGTTGAAATACAACCTTTATATTAAGGTTTATTATGATATTTCTGTGGATTCGCTACCTTTTTTCACTGGTCTAGTCTTCAGTTCCTATGCCGTGTAATATTTGTTCTGTTACTTGGTGAGGCAGCCTCCTTCTTTTTCACATTTTTGTTGTCTGTTCTTTAGTAACTATTATACTATTTGTATCTTAAGATTACTCTATACAATTCAACAAACAACTATGTAAATATTCTAATGGGAATGGCAAGACATTTATATATTGATTTTTGGGGACTGACATTTATTAGACAAGCCTTCCCATTTGGGAAAATGGCATATTTTTTGCACTATTAAGGCTTCATTCTATTTGCTTCACTACATGAACTTTCTTCAAGTAGGTTCTTTTCTGTTCCTGTCAAAACAACGTTTTCGAAATATTTTATGGTTTTGTACACAATTCAGTGCCATCATGTAGTAAAGAGAATGGTCTATTCCTCCCACCCTGACTTCCAATTTTGGGTGCTGTGTCTACATTTGAGACAAGTCACTAATTTTGGTGTATTTGGCTTGTCACTTTATTAAAATTTTTATTTTCATTTTCTAGGTATGCAATTATATTATCATTAAAAAAAGAAGAAAACATCTTTTACAGTTTTATCCATTACTTCTAGTTTATTTATTCACCTAGAAAACTATGTTGGGTCATAAAAGCAGTATCTTTGTCTACTTCGAAATTTTATTAGCATGAATTGAGTATTTTTCCATTTATCTAGCATCTGCTATGTTCTGCGATAATTTGTTATGCCCCAGTAGATAACTAATATATTGACCTGCTGACCATTATGGTACTTACACACACCTTGTTTCTGATAGTTAAGTGCTTCTACCTGCCTTCTGCTGCTCTGGAACCCCATTATTCCCACTGGTACTAGGCAGCTATCTCCTACCCACAACCTAAGTGTCTCCAGAGGACAGACATCACTAAGCTCAGTGTTGCTGGTGCTCCTCTCAACTGTGCATTCCTTATTATTTTGATGAAAGGAGTGTCCTTCAGGACTTCCCAAGACATGGTCTTATAGAAAACCCACTCTGGCATGCCCACATATTGCAGACTTTTACCCGTCTTCCAACATCTGACACAGCGGTTCTGGCATTTCTGTTTCATAGAATGTGGGCCATTGCCTTTTCCAAGCTTCCAAGAGCAATCCCAGCAGCATATTATACCCATTTCCAGAGCCTTGCTATGGCAATAAATCCTTGTTAGGGGAGAGTTCCCCCATACCAACAAACTTACCTTGATCCAACTTTATATTAAACCCCCCTTGATTCAGCACCTTCAGCATTCATTCCTAAGCACACCCCCGTCCTGCTCACACAAGTTAGCCAGATCTTGCAGCTCCTTCCGTGTACAGTCCCTCTCCACCTTCCCACAACCAACACTTTGCCGGGTGGGCTGTGCTGATATTTCACAACTAAGTATTTGCACAAATGCATGGGACAGCTATCTAAGAACTCTGCAAAGGAAATGGTTGAAGGTGGATAGGGGAGGAAACCAGAACATAAAGTAAGAACATTCCGGAGGCTGAAATTAAATGAGCTCATAACCCATAACTGCACACCAGTTGTGGATAGAAATAAGTCCAAGACAATCCTTCTCTCTTTCTCTCGTCAAAGGGGGAAGAGGGTCTGTAAAGGAGAGAGATGGGCAGGCAGGCAGGTGGGCAGACAACTAAAACTCTGAGGGAGGCGAATCCTTCTCTCTGACCAGAGT